AACAGCATCCCACAGCTGTTTATGTTTTTAAACCCATTTTGCACAGAGAGGCATTTTTTGAAAAATGTATTGATAGCAATGTTGAATATTATTACACAGAAGAAAAAAAAACAACTACATGTAAAATAAGAAGCTTCTGCCTTTGTAAATGGAGGGACAGTAACTGCGTGTAAAACCTGAAGACAGTCAGATTAACAGTAACAGTATTTCATCTCTATCTGCCATTCTGCAATTCATCTCATGTAAACAATAACGTGGCGCCCAGCCTGACGTGAAAAGAGGCACATACCTTTGACGTTGCCAGACAAACTCTGTATTCCTCATCCGCAAAAAAAAGGTGTTTTAAAAATTCTCCGTTTTCAGTGATTCGAAACGCCGTTTACGTGTGGATGCGTTTTCAAAAATACCCATGTAGGTGCGGATGTAGCGTAAAAGAGTTAGTAGTTTATTTTATTACTAACTGTCATTTATTGGAGGTTACTTGTACTTGCTTAATTGTTTACTAAATGTTTGAGGTGTGAAATAAACCGAAATGGAGCAAAATATGGGTGTGTGTGGTTGGAGGATGTGTTAGTGCGTGTGCGTGGCTCCACATCAGCTAGCTAAAACACTGGTGTTGGATAATTTTGCCGGAAAAAAAAACAGAGGACGGCTGAAGCGGGGCAGCCAAAGAGTAAACTCTTAAAAGTACGTACTGAATATTATGTCACTTATTTATGTGCAAATGCTTAATAACAAAGAACATTAAAACATTACTGTTGGCCACATGTCGGCAAAGTTATGTGACATTAGCAATGTTTGTACTAACTTGGCTTTAAAGCCTTTACTTTAAAATATACTCCATTCAATAGTTGACCTTAATCTTAGAGAGAATGCCATGATTTTATGGATAATTAAAGTCAGCAATATATCCACAAACACAACAAGCAGAACGTCAGTGATGCTGCTCGGTTTGCAGTCCTGAATATCACGGCACAAGCAGGATTCACTGCACTGTTAATGTTCGCTATGTTATATTGCTGCCTCTGTCCGGTGGTGTCGAGCCAAAAGGATTTTAACGTGTGTTTGAAAGAGCTGACGGTTCACTCGTTAAGCTGAAAGAAAGATGCTTTAATCACAGCAGTCACACATGTGTCCACTGTACCATCTGGGAACTCTTCTTGTTTAGCACTCGTAATAACACAAACACTAAATCCTCCTTCTCTTGTGCTGTTTTGTAGCAGTGTATACACCTGAGACTGTCAGCTGTCTGTCTGTCCTGCACTCTCTCTCTGTTTCTTTCTCTCTGATTGTGTAATAAAAGTCTGAACATGTATTTATAAGTTACACTTGTGTTTGAATTCTGCAGCTTATCACACATTTGATTTCCATGTGTGACAACTGCAAGTGTCCAGAGTGAGGACAGACTGAGGGACCCACTGCTGCTCATCATCTGTGAGGCTTTGCACCCCTGATGATCCACCAGGACAAACTCAGCAGTGTGTGAGGAAGAGGAGGAGGAAGAGCCAGCAGCAGCTGACAGATGGAGAGAATAGACAGACTGTTCCCTGTTTGTGAAGAACTGCTAGGAAAGTTTAACATAACTAATTGTCTGTCCTGAGTCAGTCTTATTAGGTAATGTTCAAATTTCAGAATGTAGCTGTGTAAACTTCAAATATCTGCTCGGTTTGTCAAGACATCACATATTTGCAAAAGTGCTCCAAAGTTTTCGGAGATGTCTGTTACCCACCTGCTCGATAGCTAGCAGAACAGCGAACTCCCGGCACATCATTTTCAAACCCCCTGCGGTCTGTCGCTACTCAGATTAAAGGTGATATATAAGTCACTTAGATAACTTAAAAATGTTATTGTTTGACTTTTTTCAGTGTTTTATTTGTTCGTGAGTAAATTGGTTTCCCTGAGATTACAGCTGAATAAATGTCAAACTGAAAATTGATTAAACAGAAGTGTGAAATGTTCGAGAATTTACGCCAGTGTCCTGTTACATTTTAGATAATTACTGAGGCCCGCAAGGGACACTGGAGAAAAAAAAAATCAAGATAAACTTGCAAAAGTTCATCTGAAGGCTAGACCGTCCAATTTCACAGCCACTCACTTCTGGCCTTCCTGGCCTTTGGAGGACCCAGCCCACGTAGACCGCATCCTCGGGAGGTTGCAAGCCTATGAATTTGGACACCCCCATTGTTTACATGAGATGAATTTCTACAATGGCAGATAGAGACAAAATACTGTTGCTGTTAATCTTATTATTTGCAGTTTTTACACGCTTGCATATACACACGCAGTTATGGTCCTTCCATTTAGACAGAGGCGTCAGAGTGAACTTTGGGCATGGCTTCTAAATTCAACACAGATGCTCTCACAACCCAAATCCCGACGTCGGTTTTGAATAAATTTATTTTTTAAAACATTTAATTTATGTATGCTGTATGCACTTTGTTTATTCCTAAGTTGTGAGTCTACACAACAGCCAAAATACTGTCTTTAGTTATAAACATTTGAATTGATGAGGGCACTTGAAAATGGCACTTGAAAAGCATGCTCAATCATCCAGATAAATCTCCAAAAGTTGATTCTGTTCATCTGAACATAGCGTTTTCAGTGGGAGAAACGTTTCGTCACTCATCCAAGTGACTTCTTCAGTCTCAGCTGACTGCAGGTTTCCCCAATCTTATAAACAGTACATTTGCATGACTGAAACCAGCCCACTGGAGGAACAATGGGCTGGGAGGTCAGTTCCTTAATCGTAATTATGCAAATTGTCATGACCGTTGATCAACAACCACTGATCAAAGCCCACTGTATGTAGGTAAACTGTCAGCAACAACACAGGTGATCAGGCATAAAAACTTTTTCATTTTTAGGTTTTTGTGCAGTCATTTGTCATACTAGAGAGAGAGAGATGGCTTGTAACTGTCTACCATGATGAAGACTGTCAGTATAAGAGGGTTTTAAATAATTAAAAAAAATTAAATAAAAAATAATAAATATAAAGTGTAAAAAATGATTAAGATAATCAAGCACCTCCATAATTCCACCTTTATTCTGTCTGAGGTTGGAGAGCAGCCATATTTGGCACATGTGACGTCTACTTATATATTCATGAATAATATGATCATAAAGGGTGGTGCAGTGTGTCCTTTACTAGAGAAGGCAATAAAGGAAGCATTGACGCTCTTTTCCTTAGAATTCAGAGAACTGGGACAGCTCAGGTCGCCTGGCAGATTTTTCCAGACCACTGGAATACAAGCATCACATCTCCGACACAAATTAAACTCAAACCTTACAGTTCAGGTAAAACTGAATCCTGTTGCTATGATGTGATTTTACATATTTTTTCTCTAAGGCTGTTATATGCAGGCATGTCTGATGTACAGTGAATTTTTATCATCGTGATTTTACCTAAATGCGTGTGACTTTCTGTGAAGTGTGATATATTTCTCTTTAAACTTGCTGTGAGGAGGGATCTATTCAAACCGTCAGGACTCACAGAAACGTTTGCATGTTTAAATAAGACGAGCTGTCTCTTTGAGCCTTTATTTTGATACATCGGTGAGGAGAATGACTCCATGTTTGATCTGTTAGGTTTCAGATTAAACCGAGTCACAGTGAATACTGTAGCAGACCGTGCTGTCTCCAGCTGTTTAAATGTGACGTTGTAGAAGGGAACCCTCCCTCTTCTCCCTCTATTTCCTGCTCGGTTTACTTTCACTTTGTCCGGCTGCTGTTCCGCGGAGCGTCTTTCCTATCTGTGTAGGTGAGTGAGGTCTGCGTGCCGGTGTTTGTCTCCGAGGTTCTGCTCGTGCTGTCAGATTACTGCGTAACCGTGTTACCATAGAAACGTCAGAAATCGAGACCCTTTGAGTATCTCTTAAGATCAAACAGGTCGGTGTGTGTCCGCCGCGGCGTCAGTGACTGCAGTCATTTATGTGACGTCAGTGTGGACCCGAAGTCCACGCAGTGCCGAATAAATCCAGCATTTTACTTCTTAAACTAACATAACATAACATTATTATGAACGTTTTTATGTTTAATATTTTATCGACAAATGTTTAAGTAGCTGCATCTCAGGGTCTGTTTGGTCACGTGAGATGTGCTGTGCGGCATTTTGTCCTCCAAACGTGGACAATAAAGTTGTTTTGATTGTTGAAGTAGGTCGAGGCCGGAGCATTTCTATGTTTTTCTTCATAATTCACAGACTTCTGCTTGAAATCCAGCATTTACATTTAGATGTAAGACACTTGTGCAGCTACCAGTCTGATATAGCCTATGCACTAACAACACAAAGTGTAACCCTGAAAAAATTTAGTCATATTACTGTTCATCTAATAAATCAGATTACTGCTGTACATGTGACTTTTGTTTAGCTTTTTTTTGTATATGTTTAAAAATGTTTTGGATATCAGCTGTCATATCAGAGAGCTGTTCTACCTTTTAAGACACCAGGCTGCTGTAAATCAGCTCTGACAGAACACAGATAACAGATTTTATAGATGAGCTGATTTTAGAACAACACATTTAATAACCCCTTTGAAAATGTAATTGTGCTGATTTTCTGATTGTCAGCAAACTCAGAGTGCTTATGATCCTGCAGCCATGAATACATCTTGTATTCTATTGCAGCGGTCCCCAACCCACGGCCCTCGGACCGGTACCGGTCCATGAGTCGTTTGGCACCGGGCCGCGAGAGTTTAGGTTCAGGTGTGAAATGTATAGTTTTCAGGGTTTTTATCGGTTTTCAGTGTTATTTTGTTATCGTTTTTATCGTTTACTCAGTTTCCTTGGTCTTTTCACGTGTGTTATGAATAAATTTTCTTTTTTTCAGTACCGGTACTAGTTTTAATTTGTTGTATTTATCTGCGACACCTTAAAGGCCGGTCCATGAAAATATTGTTGGGCATAAACCAGCCCGTGGCGCAAAAAAGGTTGGGGACCGCTGTTCTATTGAGCAAAGGCAATATATGTGTACACACACACAGACCTACCCATCTATAAATAATGAAAAAGTTTTTTAATTTAGTTTTTAAAAAATCTTCTGCTATGCTGAGATGATCCTGCTCTTTTTCCACACAGAGAGAATCCTACTGAGCATGTGCAGATCAAATTTCAGCCCTCTAGCTTGTTTATCTGAAACAGCCATTAAAAAAGTGTTTTTGAGAGTAAAGGAGAGATGTCCTCGTATCTCCTTATGTTCCCTTCTGCTCCCCCTACGGTGTTGGTGTTTAGGACATGGAAATGATTTTCCAATTTTCTATTGTGTGCTCTTCTGCTGCTGTAGCTCATCTGCTGTAAGGTAGTGTGTGTTCAGGCATGCTCTTCTGCATACCTTGGTTGTAGTGTGTGGTTATTTTACTTACTGTTGCCTTCCTGTCAGCTCACAGCTGTCTGCCCATTCTCTTCTGACCTCTGACAGGCTTTGTGTTAGGGAGAACTGCTGCTTGCTGTATGTACTCAGTGCATTTAGGAATGTAGACATGGTCAAGATCATGTCTAAGTCCATAATCCCCTATGTGTTTTCTCTGACACTGACTGGGTTTCTTTCCACAGGTGAGGCTGGTCGGATGTCTTTGGGTTTTTTTTTTATCTGTTGTTGTGAGCTTGTGACGGAGTCCTTAGATCGATCGCTCAGACACCGGGACTGATGAAGAGACTGAGCAGCTTCTTTTCTCAAAATATTTCTTCCACACATGAAGGTGGAAAGGGTGTGAAGTGAGCTCAGCAGGTGAGTCTTTCCAGAGAAGGCTGTTTCATGATGCTGATTGGCTGTTTGTTGGTATAAAACATGAAGAGAAAAAAGAATTTCTCTCTGAGTTTAGGAACAATAACTTTACAGTGATTCATTTACTTTTAAGTGTTCAAACCATCAGGTAACACTGAAGACCAGTGTTGGGAAGGTTACTTTTAAAATGTATTCCACTACAGATTACAGAGTACATGCCCCAAAATGTATTTTGTAACATATTCCGTTACGTTACTCAAAGCGAGTAACGTATTCTGGATACATTGGATTACTTAATATATTATCATGCCTTTTTACAACTACATGAATGTACTATTGCTGTGTGATTTATTACTATTACTGAAGGCTACTCACCATACCAATACCAACTAGAGTCTTAAATCTTAATATAAAATGAGTAACAGTAGGGTAGACATTAGGTAAGGTTGTATAGAAAACTATTCCGCGTGTATATAAAACAGGTCCGCGGCTCCGAAACGTAGTAAAGGGACCTCTGGCTAATACGTCTGGTTCCATGTAGGGCTCGTAACCGAAAACTTGCTTTACTTTGTTGTCTGGGTCAACTTTGGTAGCGAGAGACAGAGAGAGGGGTTGAAAGGCTGCTCCAACTGAACTCATTGTTTCTGAGGAAAACACGAAAAAAGTGTAGAGTCGAGTCTTAATAGCTTACTTACAACTGGGCTCGTCAGGCACTCTTTTTGGCTGCAGTGGTTATTATTATATTTACATGCTTCCATCTCCCGTTTCTGCACGGTGACAACTCGTGCTTTTCGACTCTCCTTTTTCTCCCTCCCTCGCTGACAGACACACAGCGGGTATTGCAGTCCATTCTCCCTGCAGCACGGACTACACTGCCCATGAGGCTAGGGCAGGGGTGAGCAATCTCAGGCCACGAGGGCCGGTGTCCCTGCAGGTTTTAGATCTCACCTTGGGTCAACACACCTGAATCACATGATTAGTTCATCACCAGGCCTCTGGAGAACTTCAGGACATGTTGAGGAGCTAATTTAGCCATTTAAATCAGCTGGGTTGGTTCGAGGACACATCTAAAACCTGCAGGGACACCGGCCCTCGTGGACTGAGATTGCCCACCCCTGGGCTAGGGCCATGCCTGTAACACTCTGTCTATTGCCTTCATATTAAATAAATAAAAATATTTCTTCACGTCATTATGAGACGCTAGATTGAGACACAGCCATTTGAGCCTCTTAATGCGTGTTTTGTTTGGGTTTCCACCGGCGTGGAATTACCATAAATAGAGAGGGCATAGCCTAACATATGAAACAGGAAAAGATCTTTTCCTGTTCCTGACCGCCGTGTAATCCCTTTATTTCAACAAAGTAATTGTATTCTGAATACCACCTTTTTAAACTGTAATGTAACGGAATACAGTTACTCATATTTTGTATTTTAAATACGTAACGGCGGTACATGAATTCCGTTACTCCCCAATACTGCTGAAGACTGACTGAAGGCACACAGGAGAAGATGTTTAAATCCGTGTGTGTGTGTGTGTGTGTGTGTGTGTGTGTGTGTGTGTGTGTGTGTGTGTGTGTGTGTGTGAACTAATATATGTTGTGATATTAATGTTGCTGTGTCTGTGTCTGTGTAAAGGTGTGGCTTCTGCTATGGATCAGTGTGAGCACAGAGAGGAGGGAGTCCCTCCCTCTAAATCCACTCTGTGTGGGGAACATGACAGCAAGACCAAAGCTCAGAGGTGAGAGGACCGTCTCTAGCTGTCAGGACCCTTCTCCAGGTCCTGGTCAGAGACACAGAAATCAAACGAACCAACTGTTTAACTCTCTGACATGTGAACTCTCTGCAGTCACTACATTGTGTGGTCATCACCTTTTCTTAATGCAACAACCTCAGTTAACAAAACAAAAATAAGTCAGAGTTTTAAATCTTGAGAGAGACAAACATCAAATTGCTACCAGTACACAAACTTATTTCTGCTGCTGTGTTCCTGTGTTTAGTCTCACAAAACAGCACAATCTGTTTTTTACCGTGTCAAAGGCCAAAGGTGAACAAGTTATTTAACAAAATGAGGAGACATGTGACAAAGACCTAAAGGGGTGATTGGGAGGAACGGACTTCCTGATATGAAAAATAATTAAATGATCATTCCTGCGGCCACATAAGTTAAATACTCAGGTGAGGAGAGAAACAGCTGTCACCTGAGCTGGATTAGGTGGTGGGGTAGGATCCTGGACAGAGCTGGTATAGCCAAACATACAGAGTGCACAGGGATGTTCAGTTCCCACCTCTGGCAGAAATTCAGTACTATTCCAATTTTCTGACTGAGTGGACCATGTTCTGCACCTCCAATACAAAGGAGCTTTTCCAGTTCAATTCAGTGCCAAACACACACAACAAGATATGAGGTAAAAATTCTACAACACAGAAAAAACACCAGCAATTAGAGGAGCCCCAATGAGCAAGCACTTGGTGACAGTGGGAAGGAAAAACTCCCTTTGAAAAGGAAGAAACCTCTAGCAGAATCAGGCTCAGGGAGGGATGGCCATCTGAGGAAGACGGGAGTAAAATCTATTTGAGCTTACTGTGGAAATCAGTTGGGGACCTATTCTTAGGTACTGAACCTTAAGGTTCCCCCAAATATCAAACCCCACTCCGAATCATAGTTTGTAGCTATGAACAGCTTAATCGATAAAGTTTTAAAATCATTCTATAAAACAAATAGTCTCGGAGAACCAAAGATTTTGTGCTAACGAGAGTCGAGTGAATTATTTTTCATTCTTAACAGACCTGTACACATGCAATCTTATCTGTTTCATTAGAATACCAACATTTGCTGTGAATACCTTAATAAATAACACACACGTGGTATTCTTTATTTTCTCATTTCAGAATCAATAAGGAGACACTGTTGTCTACTTCACTGAGCTGTGTGTCAATGAAGAGTGACCGATCTATGATTCAACCAATAACCTTTTCAAACAGAGAGCGGTCTTTTGATACAGAGTGAGAACTGAAACTGTTGATTGTGTTTCTTCTTTAAAAACGTCATGTCCAACAGCAAGACCAGTACTTGCATTAGTGATCACTTTGTGTTCATACCAAGACTCATCATTACAGAGAGCAACACCTTTAACAAACTGCACATATGCTAACGTTGAGCGTTTTTGCAGTGTTTTGCAGAGCTCAGAGACTCTCAGTGGTCAGTCTGATCTGGACTCCATATTTACGGTGAGAAGATTCAAGAGTCAACAGTTTAATATCACATCAATGAGGAAAAAGTAATTTAGTTTCCATCTCTCCTTAAACATGAGACTCAGTGAGAGAATTACTAGATTCATTTAGTTAAAAACATTATGAAGGTTATAATGTGGAATATATGGTTCTAATTCTGTCAAAACCTTAATAGATGAAACCTGAAAATGACTGAAAATAAGTTTAAAGTTCTAAATGTATCCCTTTTCCAGACGCTGGAGGACAACATGTTCAGTTTTTTAAAGAATGAGCTGAAGAGGATGAGGAAGGTCGTGCTTTCAGACTATCCAGAATGGTTAGAGTGTCAGAGGGAGGATGAGGAGGTGCTGAAGGCTGAGGATGAAGAACAGAGGAGGAGCAGTAGAGAGTCATTTTTGAAGATCACGCTACAATTCCTTAGGAAAATGAAGCAGGAGAAGCTGGCTGAGTGTCTGCAGAGCAGTAAGAGGATTTGAACACATGCACAGCATTTCCTCAAGTTTGTCTACAACCCCAGCTGTTCTATGCCCCACAGTCTGAAAAACACTCTGCTGGATCTATAAATTTTTCTTTATCGAAACATAAATGATGTGCGCCATGATTAACACAACACCCTGGTGCATGACAGAGACATAAACATTTATGCATCTTTTGTTTTTATGTTTCTATTTGTTTATCTATAACTTTTGTGGTCAGACATACTACATTATAGATGGTTGATTACATCAGGAAAGCCCATAAATCAATGGCTAAAGTAGGTGATAGGCAGAGGGTAGGTGAATTACAGAGAGCTGAGGGAATCCAAGGTAATCCTGTCAGTTCTTAAATAAAGGAAACACCACGGCAAATATTCTAATCAATTCTAATGTTTGTTTGTTTTTTAATTATTAATTTAGGAACTCGTGCTGCAAAGTGCCAAAAAAACCTGAAGTCTAATCTGAAAAAGAAGTTCAAGTGTGTTTTTGAGGGGATTGCTAAAGCTGGAAGCTCAACCCTTCTGAATCAGATCTACACAGAGCTCTACATCACAGAGGGAGGGACTGCAGGGGTCAATGATGAACATGAGATCAGACAGATTGAAACCGTATCCAGGAAATTGAACAGACCAGAAACTGCAATCAGACAAGAAGATATCTTTAAAGCCTCACCTGTTAAAGACAAGCCAATCAGAACAGTGCTGACAAAGGGAGTGGCTGGCATTGGGAAAACAGTCCTAACACAGAAGTTCACTCTGGACTGGGCTGAAGACAAATCCAACCAGGACATCCAGTTCATGTTTCCATTCACTTTCAGAGAGCTGAATGTGCTGAAAGAGAAAAAGTTCAGCTTGGTGGAACTTGTTCATCACTTCTTTCCTGAATCCTCATCAGCAGGTATCTGCAGCTTTGAAGACTTCCAGGTTTTGTTCATCTTTGATGGTCTGGATGAGTGTCGACTTCCTCTGGACTTCCACAAAACTGAGACCCTGACTGATGTTACAGAGTCCACCTCAGTGGATGTGCTGCTGATAAACCTCATCAGGAGGAACCTGCTTCCTTCTGCACGCATCTGGATAACCACAAGACCAGCAGCAGCCAGTCAGATCCCTCCTGACTGTGTTGACATGGTGACAGAGGTCAGAGGATTCAGTGACCCGCAGAAGGAAGAGTACTTCAGAAAGAGATTCAAAGAAAGGGAGCAGGCCAACAGGATTATCTCCCACATCAAGAAATCACGAAGCCTCCACATCATGTGCCACATCCCAGTCTTTTGCTGGATCACTGCTACAGTTCTGGAAGATGTGCTGAAAACTAGAGAGGGGGGACAGCTGCCCAAGACCCTGACTGAGATGTACATTCACTTCCTGGTGGTTCAGGCCAAAATGAAGAAGGTCAAGTATGATGGAGGAACTGAGATAGATCAGCACTGGAGTCCAGAGAGCAGGAAGATGATCGAGTGTCTGGGAAAACTGGCTTTTGATCAGCTGCAGAAAGGAAAGCTGATCTTCTATGAATCAGACCTGACAGATTTTGAAGTAATTATCAAGGATGCCTCAGTGTACTCAGGAGTGTTCACACAGATCTTTAAAGAGGAGAGAGGACTGTACCAGAACAAGGTGTTCTGCTTCATCCATCTGAGTATTCAGGAGTTTATGGCTGCTCTTCATGTCCATCTGACCTTCATCAACTCTGAAGTCAACCTGCTGGAGAAACGGCAAAAAAAAGATCAGCATTCTTTAAAACATCTCCACCAGAGTGCCGTGGACAAGGCCTTAGAGAGTTCAAATGGTCATCTGGACTTGTTCCTCCGCTTCCTCCTTGGGCTTTCACTGCAGTCTAATCAGACTCTCCTAAAAGGTCTACTGACACAGACAGGAAGTAGTTCAAATACTGATGTGGAAACAGTCCAGTACATCAAGAGGAAGATCAGTGATAATCAGTCTGCAGAGAAAAGCATCAATCTGTTTCACTGTCTGAATGAACTGAATGATCGTTCTCTAGTGGAGGAGATCCAACAGTCTCTGACTTCGGGAAGTCTCTCTACAGATAAACTGTCTCCTGCTCAGTGGTCAGCTCTGGTCTTCATCTTATTGTCATCAAAGGAAGATCTTGATTCATTTGAACTGAAGAAATACTCTGCTTCTGAGGATGCTCTTCTGAGGCTTCTGCCAGTGGTCAAAGCCTCCAAGAAAGCTCTGTAAGTCGATTTATGAACCATTATAAATGTTTTTACATTCTTGATTGTTATCTTCATTAATAATTCTTTCTCTCAGGCTGAGCTGTTGTAACTTGTCGTGGAGAAGCTGCAAAGCTCTTTCATCAGTTCTCAGCTCCGAGTCTTCTAGTCTGAGAGAGCTGGACCTGAGTAACAATGACCTGCAAGATTCTGGCGTGAAGCTGCTGTCTGGTGGACTAAAAAGTGTACACTGTAAACTTGAAACTCTAAGGTAATGATTCAGTGTGTGTGTGTGTGTGTGTGTGTGTGTGTGTGTGTGTGTGTGTGTGTGTGTG